AACTTGGAATGGACAAGAAAAGACAGTCTGAAAAGTGCTTTGAAGTTAAAAGGGGGACTACTGCCACGGATCTATCTCCAAGAAGAAAACAAACTTATCGTAATGCTTTAACTGGTGATGATGGGCAATCATATGTCGTTTGCAAATCGTTTTTAGCCACACTTGCTTATAATAAAAGCAACGACAGCTTTGTTGTTGAAATGTTATAAAAACAACCAAAGGAAATATTTGTATTCAGCCTGATAAGAGACGAAAATCAGTTCAGACAAGTCAATTTCATCCCTGAAATACATGAACGTATTGAAAGTCCTACCAACAAATCGCCCACTACCGCGGAAAACATGCACCGAATACTCGGTAGTTACCTACTGATGTAAACATTAGTATATATCATTTAATCATTACTGCATTTTACTCTCAAAGTAATAAATATTATAACAGCATTTATTAGTAATAATGTATCTATTCTTATCTTAAAGAGTACTGCACTTTAAATAAGCATTATGCGTAGATTCACGATAATAATGCTAGATGAAAGGTAGTGACTATTTTATTGCTAGAATGAAAACAATGTTATATTTTTAAAAATACAGTTTTTAAAAGTTCAATACAGTTACATACTAATTATTACGTTCACCACCACACAACTTATCAAAGGTAACCTCGTTTTTCCCAAAACTTAACTTAGTGTAGATACTGCGTTTTCCCTTGTGAGGGCAGATTATTAATTATTGATTGAATAAAGTAATACAAATGTAGATTTGAATACTCCACTGGATGCCATCCAATCAAAATGTGGTAATTGTTTTGAATAAATTTAATAAATATTGTCTCGAGGGGATGGAGCATGACTCAAATGACTTCTCCCTCTCCTGAATCCGCCACCGCATCAGTCGAATCCACGGGCTTTGTTCTGTCAATTACCCCCTGCTCCCCTTCGACTTCCCGCAGCTCTTCAACTTCTCCTAACCTCTTTCTTACAGGTGTACTGATCATTTCATTTACCAGCCCTCCCCCATCACGCTTTGACCCGCTCTTTCCTGTCGTGCCTACCACGCTCCACCCTTTGCTTCCCGCCACGCCTGTCCCGCTCCTGCTGGCCTTCCTCTCCAGCTCCTCTCCGTCTCCTCACAGATCTCCACTTTTCTAATCACACTCCCCATCCGTTTACATACGGTTGTCTTGTGCTTCTTTTCACGGCCCTGCCCGCCATTTCCTACCTCACTCCTTCCCACCACGTCCTTTCCCCTCCATTCCGCCACGCATTCCCTATCTACCTCGTTGTCACATCCCATCTCCACCCGCCACGTCTATCCCACGTCAATCTCTCTCCATTATCTCTTCACCGCACCATTCCCTCTCTTATTCCCCCAACCATTCCCTGTGCTCTTCCCGTGCCGACCATCTCCTTTCTACCCCGTTCACGGCCCATCCCTCTCCTCCATTCCATCTTTCCACACCACCCCATTCCCACCTTCCCGCCCAAACCTTCCGGTCTTCCCCCCACGACCATTCCCCTCTCCACCCCGCCATGTCCTCCTCTCTTCTCTCTCTCCCTCCGAGCCCCTACCCACTCCAACCGCCACGTCTATCCCCCGCCCATCTCTCACCATTCCCACTACACCGCACCTTCCCACCAAGCCATTCCCTTTCTACCCCATCTCGCTCATCCTCTCCTCCTGATGTCCATCCTTTCTACACCACACCACACCATCCCCTCTCCTTCCCGCCAAGCCATCCCCTCTCCACCTCACCAAGCCCCCCTCTCTCTCTCTCTTTCTCCCTCGTTTTCTCTCTCTCTCTCTCTCTCTCTCTCTCTCTCTCACTTTCTCGCTCTATCTCTCTCCGTCACATCCATTCCCTTTCCACCACGCCGCACCCTCCCCTCCCCGCCACGCCCATCCGTCCCTGGGCGCACCTTGAGGTAGTCGGCGATCTCCTCGATGTCGGCGAGGCTGCGGTTGAGCTCGGCGGCGAGCTCGGCGCCGCCGGCCGGCAGCTGCAGCACGAGCGGGCCGTCGATGTGGGTGCAGCCGCGCAGCTCCTGCGCCGCCGCCAGCGAGTCCACCATGGCGCCCGGGCACACGCGCCGGCAGCGCCCCACGCAGCGCCGGCAGCCGCCGCCGCCGCCCGGCGCCTCCTCCCACACGTTCGCCGGCCGGCACTCGTTCACGCACGACCTGCGCACACTGCCTTATCTATCTGGCTCGGTGCGGTTGGGTTGAGAATGCCTGCCATCGTTTTTCGTGCTTCATCATTCTTGCGTGTTTTTTTCCCGTGGTTTTTTGTTTAAGTAGTTAGATTAACCTTTCCACATACGAGGACTGGGATTAGGTTGTGGAGTTGCTTTAAAACGTCTCTCGCCGATAATGTAGAGCGATTTCTATTAGAATGAGCCAAAGCGACAGTTCGCTAAACACGTGAACATCACGTGTAATTCAGAGAAGTATCCGTCCGCCGCGGCAGCTGTTCAGCCACGCCCCTTCGTCAAGTGCTTGTTTACGGCTCCCATGAAGACTGCTTACGAGTCCCGCTGAGGTGTATGCGCGTACGTGAGTTCGGGGTATATTGAAATTTAATGCGTACGTGGGAAAAGGTCTTAAAAATGTCTCGCGGCGCACTATATTTTCGTCGGGCGAGGACATCACAAAAGACTACATTTGTTTCCCCTACCTGTCAAAGTGGTCCCTTCTAACCATCACCATCCTTCACTCCTCTATAACCATGTACTGGCGTCGAATGTATGGGGTAATCCTAGTTTCATACAATAAGCCATCGTCAATCATTGTATTTTATCCCTTCGGTCAGGGGTCCGGAGCCGTTGGATCCCGCGGTTCCCAAACAGTCGCCCGACCAGGAACCCACGATGTCTCGAATTGCTTAACCTCCGTGACTTAACGTAGATACGGAATTCGGCTAGCGACACCAGCTGTCAGTTGAGTCACCTGAGTTGTTTTCTTTACACTCCGTCTCTCCAAACCTAACTAGGGAGCGTAGTGTGAGTGTAAACGAAAACATAATTCGCATTTATTGCATAAAAGTTGGCTAACTTTTACTGGGGAAGACGTGTATGTGTGTGTGTAAAGGGGGGAATAATACAAGGAAGAGAAAGGAAAGATCGCGCGCGGTCCGTGATCCGTTTGTTAGGGTACTGCTCCGGCATTCGCCTAGTGTTAATCGGAGAAACCATGGAAAATTATCTATCAGAGCAGCCGGATTTTCTTGACATTGCTTGAAACCCAATTTAAAGACGAGTGTGGTCGGTATATAGACATACAAATAATTCTCATTCATTTCACAAAAGCTGGCTAACTTGTGTTTGGGATTTGAGAAATGTGACTAACTTGTATTGGGGAGTCTCTTACTTTTGTCATTCCGCTTACTGAAGAATATTCCGAAGAAAATCAATGAATTTATTAAGAATAACTAGAGTGCTAGATTAATACACGTCAAAATTTTCTTGGAAGTTGTATACTTTGATGCATAATTCTTTGATTAAAAGTTTGTGTATTGAGATTTTTATTAAAAGAGTGATTTAAGTAAACAATACTCTTTGAAAGTCGATACTCTGCTTTTCAACATATATATATATATATATATATATATATATATATATATATATATATACATATATATACATATATATACATATATATACATATATATACATATATATACATATATATACATACATATATATATATATATATATATATATATATATCAATTTTTACAATATTATTTTTATGACGATATCGGAACAATGTAAATCAGTCGTGAAAACTATCCCGAACCTCGACCCGCACGCAATGCACTTACAATGAAGCCTGGCTCCTTTGGCTGGCGGAAGAAAACATATCGCAAGGTGCGGTTTTCGTTGACGATAAACAGTTTGCGAACCTATCCAAAACTTGTACACTGACCTGAACCAAGCATTTGCCAGGAATTGACGTAGCCAAGACACCCCTAGGATGGTTCAAAGGAAGGGGTCGGAAGAGCGGGCGCCATTATCCGCCTGTGGCCTAGAGCACGCGCTGCGCTGCGGACTCTCACATACGAAAGAGTTCAACCTGTCACGAGCGCGAGCGGCAGCGGGGTGGGGGGAGAGGTAGAGCGACAGGTGCTATTACTTCCCTCTATTTCCCCCGCCGCTACCCGCCTGAGGGCAGCAGATAAGAGCTGGAGCGGGGCAGCCTTTACAAATGAGTACGGGGTTAGATTCAGGTTAAAGTGTGGAGTTGTGAGTGCGGGCACTTTGTATCTGTGATTGTCGATGGACACCTTCTTTTAGGATATATTCTACTCTCGAATGTGAAGATGGATAAGCATTTAGTGTTTTCGGAGTACGTCAACTGTGGACATTACATCCGTGATAGTAGTGTATATTATATCCCTGGAGGATACAATATCCCTTCCCCGATGCAACATGAGATCCATCGCTTACCTATTTGGTGGCTTGCTGGCATTTCCCGCTCCAGGTATCTCCACCAGCGGCTCACCACCCCGCTCGAATCAAACGTGTAGAGTGTGAGAAAACGTGGCGCATGTAAGTGTGTGTGTGTTTAACCGGAGATGACGGGACAAGGATGTGGAAAGGAAGATCGTAAGAGGACCGCGACCCATTTGTTAAGTTCTTGCTCCAGTATTCAGTACGTATTGATGGGAAAATACTCGGAAAACTACCGATCAGAGCAGCCGATCGCTAGAGTTCTCCTCCAGGCAGCGGCCGAAATCGCTAGGGTCGAAAATCCGCCACCGTCGGGGCTCGAACCCTTGGACCTCACGACTAAACTCGCTGCAGAGTCAGCTGAGCTCAACTCCTGTAGTCCCTATTTACTTGGCTGTCCGGGTGACGCCGCGTCCATGGCGTAATGCCCTGAGGAAGGTCGCAGAATGGCGACCGAAACGTTGGCACCTTCGTCATGGACGCGGCGTCACCCGGACAGGCAAGTAAATACTAACTGCTGCCGCGGAAGACTGCGCTCTCTCCTGCAGCCCCCTCACCCGTTGAAGGTCCAGTATCGCGGGTTGTCGGCGTCGTCGGCACCGGCCAGCAGCGCGTCCGCAACGGCGGCGGCGGCGTCGCCCGCGCCCAGGGCGCCGGCGGGCGCGGGGGCGTGGCCCGACGCGTTGCGCCGCTGCTCGCGCTGCCGCAGCACCGTCGCCTGGTCCAGGTCGCGCATGCGCTCGCACTGCTGCCGCGTCACGCAGCGCCGCCCCAGGTACAGGTAGCTGCAACACAAACCGCGGGGATTCGAAATCGCAGCCAACGATCTGCAAAATATATAGAGCGGTTTTTATAAGACAAGACTGCTTTGACAAGCTGGTGACTGAAGGTTCTGTGGTTGTTGTGTTCTTCAACTCGTTTGACTCTCCTTCCTTCATTCGTTCGTTTGTAGTTGGCTAACCTGTAAATCGCTTCGACGCTTCCTTTCGTGATGTCGTCGTCTGAAAATATAGTTGGCCACGAGAAAGTATGAAATGTAGAGCTACTATGCTCTCCTGAAAAAATTATTTTTTTAATAAACACTACATTGACTTTACTTTTCGTGTGGTAAGTATTGAAATTGAATTGTTTATTTGAAAACCGAGTTTAGTATGTGGGACGTGTTTCTTGCTCCTGTGCGGTAAGGAGCGAACTGTGATCGAGAACGTTCCGTGGTTCCGTACTTTGCGTTTTATCATTTTTTTATGTAATTACACGGTTGTGAACCATGAGAAGCCATGGTGTCTTAACGGGAGCCATCAAACATAAACTCTTTACGAAGAGGCGTATCTGAACCGTTGTCGCGGCGGAGGCATACTTCTCTGAATTACACGTGATGTTCACTTCTTTTGCGGATTGTCATTTTGAGTCATTCCTAGGCGGATTCTTCTCTACTATATAAAGTGGCTGACCCTACGGTTTCAGAAACGGACGCTCGCCGAACTGAGGCCACCATGTTTTTTTGCAGACAAAACATGAGACGTGACTGAAGATGGCGTGTAGAACTGTTATACCGGATCGACGTGTTGTTTGTATCAGATCATACTTGTATATAGTTGTCTTTTCGTTTATCTGTATTTAAACTATATTAGCGGTTAGAAAAATAATATGCACGAAACCTTTAATGGGTTAGACATATAACTGCAAAAAATAAAGAGAAACACAAAGTCAGAGACAGTTATATTACGCGCGGCCCGCGCTTCTGCCAGTGTAGTATATTCTAATTCGTTGATCGAAGACTAATTTTTCTTGGCAACCCTGCTGTTCAAAGCGTCACCGGGCGCGTTAGGTTTAATGCTGTTTCGCAATGAAGAGCTCGAGAGTAAGATATGGTAACTTTTAAAGTTATAGTTTTTGTGATATTAAAATTTTCGCACGTTTCCCCCTGTTGTCTACGCGTTATGTTTCTCAAATAGTCAAAATTATGGCGCATAGTTGTCCCCCGGATGTTGTTATCTTTATGTACCCTGTTTAAACCCCTTCCAGCAAAAATGTTCACTTAGTTCACATGTTTTACCCAAATATGTACCTGATCTATGGCACGACTTCTAGAGTACCATTTCAGTGAATATGTCAAAGTGAGGCCATTTCAGTCTCACTTGACTTGAATTCGCGGGATCGGCACACGTAACATATCTCTTTTTTTTGTTTGTTTGTTAATTTTTTGGCTTAAAAGCGTCGTAAATTACACGGTGATCACACTCACGATTACCGCGAGTTCCGAATGCCCCAATCTCCCACTCAACATAGAAATGCATAGTGAAGCAGTTTCTCTGATCCTCGAGCAAATGCTGAGATGGCCCCTTGTTTTGCTTCTGAACATAAATGTAACCTCAAATTAACTTCTCCCCATAGCACGTCATACACAGTTTCTAACTGTTTTTGACGTAAATAAATAAGTAAATAAGTAAATAAGTAAATAAGTAAATAAGTAAATAAGTAAATAAGTAAATAAGTAAATAAGTAAATAAGTAAATAAATAAATAAACAAATAAAAATACATATATAAATAAATAAATCATCAACTGTCATTAAAGTAACTACGCACAAAATACGTTGGCAATAACCCGTTGAACAGACTCAAGGAAGTTTTATATTGCTGAGAGGGTTAAATGCCCGAGCCTCGGCCTGAATGTGGAAATCGATAGCGAAGCCTCAAGCGAAAGCCTCTGTAAGTGACTCGTGCTGTGAACCAAGAAGAGTAGCGTCTAGTGGAGGGCTCTTGCTGAGAACGAGATTGGTGGCGCTATGTACGGCAGGAACGAGAACTATTATACATACTCCCCAACCCGGGCCTTTTTCCAACCGTCAGCGGGATACCCTCAGCCACAATACATACATGAGAGACAAGGGTAAACAACAGTGCCCAAGAAGGGACTCGAACCCGCAACACTTCGAACCGAAGAGCGGAGTCGGTACACGCTCTTTACATCGGCCATCCAGATCGGCAGTATCATATATATATATATATATATATATATATATATATATATATATATATATATATATATATATTATATAATAATAATAATAATAATAATAATAATAAGAAATGCGAAGAAATGCAATACTAAGGAGTTGACAGTCGTTTGTCTCTCTGACACTAGGCTGCACGACGAAAGTTATAACTGTTCGTAATTTTGTATGCTTTTTTGCTCCGCACTGCCACGCACCAATACATAACCAGTTGTGCAACTATACGAGTGCACATTGTTATTTTGAATTGCCCGCATCATTAATTTTGTGAACGTATGTACGTATCATTTGCCTGGCATATGATTCTCTCAAGTGTCGATAATAATTCTATTAATAATCAATTACATTAATTTGCCTGTGTATTATATTTAAAAGCCAAGCTTTCAAACAATTATTTACGAAGAACAGGATTGTTCGCACGGGCCCAGCTAGTTTTTGTTAGTCTGTTAGACGTTGTCGGTCCTGACTCTCACGAGGGGACCCAATCTACCTGGTCCTCAGTCAATCCATTCCCTATTACGTAAGCACCAATCAAAGATTTTTGTTTTTTTCTGCCTCGTCTCTTCTTCCACACTGAACTGGTTATTTATAGATGTTATGAACAGCTAGAAAGTCCTCCTTTACACGGAAAGGACATTAATATTAATTTCGTAAAATGGTGAATGATAATGTTCAGCTACGGACTTTCTGTTAAGAGTGCCTTAAATGCATTATCAAAATGTCACACGAGAATTCCATTATCAAATACGTGAGCATTAGCAAGAAGCGCCGGGAGACAAAAAAATCAAGAGGGAAACAAATAAACGTTCACTAAAACGAAGGGCTACAGAAGATACTCCTGCGCTTATTTCAAAGCTTCCAGCGCTGAACAGACGGACACGTCACAATACCTCTCGTGAGTAACGTAGCGCGTATCAAAAGAATGACGCGACATGCCCGCTCGACAATCTGTTTGAAGATTTGTTTTGCTCCAGAACATAAATGTAACTTCAAATTAACGTCTTCCCATCGCACGTCACACACAGTTTTAACTGTTTTTGAAGTAAATAAATAAATAAATGTATAAATGTATAAATGTATAAATGTATAAATGTATAAAGGTATAAAGGTATAAATGTATAAATGTGTAAATGTGTAAATGTGTAAATGTGTAAATGTGTAAATGTGTAAATGTGTAAATGTGTAAA